GGAGGAAGGAGGGAAGGAAGGAAGGAAGGGAAGGAAGGAGGGAAGGCAAGGGGAAGGAAGGAAGGCAAGGAAAGGAAGGAAGAAGAGACAGATCATATAGACAGCCCATACAGTATACAGACAGGAAGACATACCATACAGACAATGGGAGAGAGAGAGAGAGAGAGAGAGAGAGAGAGAGAGAGAGAGAGAGAGAGAGAGAGAGAGAGAGAGAGACAGACAGACAGACAGACAGACAGACAGACAGACAGACTGGCCCCACAGACAGGGAGACACAGACAGGCATAATGACAGAGACAATGAACAGAGACAGGAAAACAGACACACACACAAACTGCCCCATGGTCTACCCAGACTTTCCTCATACCTGACACCACTGGTCTTCACATACCTGACACCATTATCAGCCTCCTCATCCTCCCACCTGACACCTGACACCTGACCAAAGCCAACACCAGCCACTGCCACCTGACACCCACTGACACCACCTACCACCACCACCACTGCCTCGGTGGCGCCTCCTGCCACTTACCACCACTTTACCTTATCACCTGACACCACAGTCATCATCTGACACCTCCTAGCAGCCATGGATAAACCAAGAGATATGGATAAACCAACAGATATGGATAAACCAAGAGATATGGATAAACCAAGAGATATGGATAAACCAACAGATATGGATAAACCAAGAGATATGGATAAACCAAGAGATATGGATAAACCAACAATCATGGATAAACCAACAGTCATAGATAGACCAACAATCATGGATAAACCAACAATAAAGGATAAACCAACAATCATGGATAAACCAACAATCAGGGATAAACCAACAATCAGGGATAAACCAACAATAAAGGATAAACCAACAATCATGGATAAACCAACAATCAGGGATAAACCAGCAGTCATGGATAAACCAACAGTCAGGGATAAACCAACAATCATGGATAAACCAACAACAAAGGATAAACCAACAATCATGGATAAACCAACAGTCATAGATAGACCAACAATCATGGATAAACCAACAGATATGGATAAACCAACAATCATGGATAAACCAACAGATATGGATAAACCAACAATCATGGATAAACCAACAATCAGGGATAAACCAACAATAAAGGATAAACCAACATTCATGGATAAACCAACAATCAGGGATAAACCAACAATCATGGATAAACCAACAATCATGGATAAACCAACAATCAGGGATAAACCCACAATCGTGGATAAACCAACAATCAGGGATAAACCAACAGATATGGATAAACCAACAATCAGGGATAAACCAACAATCATGGATAAACCAACAATCAGGGATAAACCAACAATCATGGATAAACCAACAATCATGGATAAACCAACAATCAGGGATAAACCCACAATCGTGGATAAACCAACAATCAGGGATAAACCAACAATAAAGGATAAACCAACAGATATGGATAAACCAACAATCATGGATAAACCAACAATCATGGATAAACCAACAATCAGGGATAAACCCACAATCGTGGATAAACCAACAATCATGGATAAACCAACAATAAAGGATAAACCAACAATCATGGATAAACCAACAATCAGGGATAAACCCACAATCGTGGATAAACCAACAATCAGGGATAAACCAACAATAAAGGATAAACCAACAGATATGGATAAACCAACAATCATGGATAAACCAACAATCATGGATAAACCAACAATCAGGGATAAACCCACAATCGTGGATAAACCAACAATCATGGATAAACCAACAATCAGGGATAAACCCACAATCGTGGATAAACCAACAATAAAGGATAAACCCACAATCGTGGATAAACCAACAATCATGGATAAACCAACAATAAAGGATAAACCAACAATCAGGGATAAACCAACAATCAGGGATAAACCAACAGATATGGATAAACCAACAATCAGGGATAAACCAACAGATATGGATAAACCAACAATCAGGGATAAACCAACAATCAGGGATAAGCCCACAATCATGGATAAACCAACAATCATGGATAAACCAACAATCATGGATAAACCAACAATCAGGGATAAGCCCACAATCATGGATAAACCAACAATCATGGATAAACCAACAATCAGGGATAAACCAACAATCAGGGATAAACCAACAATCGTGGATAAACCAACAGCCATGGATAAACCAACAATCAGGGATAAACCAACAATCGTGGATAAACCAACAGCCATGGATAAACCAACAATCAGGGATAAACCAACAATCAGGGATAAACCAACAATCAGGGATAAACCAACAATCAGGGATAAACCAACAATCAGGGATAAACCAACAATCAGGGATAAACCAACAGCCATGGATAAACCAACAATCAGGGATAAACCAACAATCATGGATAAACCAACAGCCATGGATAAACCAACAATCAGGGATAAACCAACAATCGTGGATAAACCAACAGCCATGGATAAACCAACAATCATGGATAAACCAACAGCCATGGATAAACCAACAATCAGGGATAAACCAACAATCGTGGATAAACCAACAGCCATGGATAAACCAACAATCAGGGATAAACCAACAGCCATGGATAAACCAACAATCAGGGATAAACCAACAATCAGGGATAAACCAACAGCCATGGATAAACCAACAATCAGGGATAAACCAACAATCATGGATAAACCAACAATCAGGGATAAGCCCACAATCATGGATAAACCAACAATCAGGGATAAACCAACAATCAGGGATAAACCAACAGCCATGGATAAACCAACAGCCATGGATAAACCAACAATCAGGGATAAACCAACAATAAAACAATCACATTTTCTCCCGACAGTTCAAATATCCTCATATCCAATAACGAGACTCAGATTATCCCGACAATAATAACACAAATATGAAGAAGAATTAAAGTATACAGAAGAGTAAAGAAAAATGGAAAAGAAACTGAAAATTAAATGTTATAATCAGTTAATTATCTCCAAATAATAATAATAATAAAATTACATATTATATTGAGTTAGAAAGCTCCATTGAATATAATTACTGGAAGATGTGTGTGTGACGTACCGTCAGACATGATAGGTGGTGTGGTGGTGGTGGCGGAGAGGAACGTGGTCTCACCTCGGTGGCTGGAGTGTCACTGAAGGGAAGCAGAGGTCTGCTTGCGCCAACAGCTGGACCTCCATCCCTCCCTCCTCCTCCTCCTCTCCCTCCTCCTCCTCCTCCTCCTCCTCCTCCTCCTCCTCTGTGTATACATACACATACACATGCATTAATACACATGGGAACATATTCTTTCTTCTCTACACCTTCATGGAGTTGGCACCCGAGCTGTCCCTTAACACTATACACCTGTGTTATACATCTACAATATACAACTGTGCTATACACCTACATTATACAATTATGATATACCAATACACTATACACTTACACTATACACCTACAAATACACTTACACTATGCACCTACATTATACACCTGTATTTTATACCTAACCTACACTATATGCCTCTACCATTCATCACCACTATACACCTGAAGTATACTCCTACACGATACACCTGTGCTATACACCTGCGCTATACACCTGCGCCATACACCTGCGCTGCACTTAAGATGATTATAAGAAACAATAACGTTAATCAAACGGATTAAAACGAAAGAGATCATTTGTTATTGTGTTCCTAATTGTACAGAGATGAGAGGTGATGCTGAGAGATGATGCTGAGAGGTGATGCTGAGAGGTGATGCTGAGAGGTGATGCTGAGAGGTGATGCTGAGAGATGATGCTGAGAGGTGATGCTGAGAGGTGATGCTGAGAGGTGATGCTGAGAGGGAGATGAACAGGAGAGGAGAGGTTACGGGGGGGGGGGGGGGTGGGGAGGGGATGTGCTGACTAAGCCTCTGAATATCAGGTGACCACCACCACAGGTATGCTACCCTCCCCCTCCCCCCCCCCCCCCACATACCTGTCCCTCGTTATACTCACCTGAAGGCTCAGGTGACACTACAGGTGAGTATGAGGCCTCATACTCACCTACGGAGGTATATGGCCCTCAGGTGAGGTTAGACTCGTCTAAATGGTATGTGTGTGTGTGTGGTACTCGTATGGGACACACACACACACACACACACACACACACACACACACACACACACACACACACACACACACACACACACACACACACACACACACGTACTAAAGAAATTGTTCACGACTTTTGTGAGGCCAAAGCTAGAATATGCAGCGGTTGTGTGGTGCCCATATCTTAAGAAGCACATCAACAAACTGGAAAAGGTGACTAAGTGGCTCCCAGAACTGAAGGGCAGTTCTGGGAGAGGTTAGAGGCTACGAGGAGAGGTTAGAGGCATTAAATATGCCAAAACTGGAAGACAGAAGAAAAAGAGGTGATATGATCACTACATACAAAATAGTAACAGGAATTGATAAAATCGACAGGGAAGATTTCCTGAGACCTGGAACTTCAAGAACAAGAGGTCATAGATATAAACTAGCTAAACACAGATGCCGAAGAAATATAAGAAAATTCACTTTCGCCAACAGAGTGGTAGACGGTTGGAACGAGTCAGGTGAGAAGGTGGTGGAGGCCAAGACCGTCAGTAGTTTCAAAGCGTTATATATGACAAAGAGTGCTGGGAAGACGGGACACCACGAGCGTAGCTCTCATCCTGTAACTACACTTAGGTAATTACACACACCAAACACACACACACACACACACACACACACACACATACACACACACACACACACACACACACACATACACACACACAAACACCACACACACACACATACACACACACACACACACACACACACACACACACACACACACACACACACACACACACACACACACACACACACACACACACACACACACACACACACACACACACACACACACACACACACACACACACACACACACACACACACACACACACACACACACACACACACACACACACACACACACACACACACACACACACACACACACACACACACACACCACACACACACACACACACACACACACACACACACACACACACACACACACACACACACACACACACACACACACACACACACACACACACACACATACACACACACACACACACCACACACACACACACACACACATACACACACACACACACACACACACACCACACACACACACACAACACACACACACACACACACACACACACACACACACACACACACACACACACATAAGTAATAACAGATAACACTCTGCGCTCCACACTGTGTACATTTTGATAACATCCTGACTACACTACTCGTAATGATGACTGTATACTCCTGCCTGTACACCTGTGCACTCACCCCCTGTACACCTGTGTACTCACCCCCTGTACACCTGTGTACTCACCCCTGTACACCTGTGCACTCACCCCCTGTACACCTGTGTACTCACCCCCTGTACACCTGTGTACTCACCCCTGTACACCTGTGTACTCACCCCCTGTACACCTGTGTACTCACCCCCTGTACGCCTGTGTACTCACCCCTGTACACCTGTGTACTCACCCCCTGTACGCCTGTGTACTCACCCCCTGTACGCCTGTGTACTCACCCCCTGTACACCTGTGTACTCACCCCCTGTACACCTGTGCACTGACCCCCTGTACACCTGTGTACTCACCCCTGTACACCTGTGCACTCACCCCCTGTACACCTGTGTACTCACCCCCTGTACACCTGTGTACTCACCCCCTGTACACCTGTGTACTCACCCCCTGTACACCTGTGTACTCACCCCTGTACACCTGTGCACTCACCCCCTGTACACCTGTGTACTCACCCCCTGTACGCCTGTGTACTCACCCCCTGTACACCTGTGTACTCACCCCTGTACACCTGTGTACTCACCCCCTGTACACCTGTGTACTCACCCCCTGTACACCTGTGTACTCACCCCTGTACACCTGTGCACTCACCCCCTGTACACCTGTGTACTCACCCCCTGTACGCCTGTGTACTCACCCCTGTACACCTGTGTACTCACCCCCTGTACACCTGTGTACTCACCCCTGTACACCTGTGTACTCACCCCCTGTACACCTGTGTACTCACCCCCTGTACGCCTGTGTACTCACCCCTGTACACCTGTGTACTCACCCCCTGTACGCCTGTGTACTCACCCCCTGTACGCCTGTGTACTCACCCCCTGTACACCTGTGTACTCACCCCCTGTACACCTGTCTACTCACCCCTGTACACCTGTGTACTCACCCCCTGTACACCTGTGCACTCACCCCCTGTACACCTGTGTACTCACCCCCTGTACACCTGTGTACTCACCCCTGTACACCTGTGTACTCACCCCTGTACACCTGTGTACTCACCCCCTGTACACCTGTGTACTCACCCCCTGTACGCCTGTGTACTCACCCCCTGTACACCTGTGTACTCACCCCTGTACGCCTGTGTACTCACCCCCTGTACACCTGTGTACTCACCCCCTGTACGCCTGTGTACTCACCCCTGTACACCTGTGCACTCACCCCCTGTACACCTGTGTACTCACCCCCTGTACGCCTGTGCACTCACCCCTGTACACCTGTGTACTCACCCCCTGTACGCCTGTGTACTCACCCCCTGTACACCTGTGTACTCACCCCCTGTACACCTGTCTACTCACCCCTGTACACCTGTGTACTCACCCCCTGTACACCTGTGCACTCACCCCCTGTACACCTGTGTACTCACCCCCTGTACACCTGTGTACTCACCCCTGTACACCTGTGTACTCACCCCCTGTACACCTGTGTACTCACCCCCTGTACACCTGTGTACTCACCCCCTGTACGCCTGTGTACTCACCCCCTGTACACCTGTGTACTCACCCCTGTACACCTGTGCACTCACCCCCTGTACACCTGTGTACTCGCCCCCTGTACGCCTGTGTACTCACCCCCTGTACACCTGTGCACTAACCCCTGTACACCTGTGCACTCACTCCCTGTACACCTGTGCTCCTAGAGGACAGACAGGCAGTGATGGTGAGAATAGTGAGGCGCTCCTCCTCACCATCCCAAGCTACACCAACAAGACCTACAACAACAACAACAACAACAAGACCTACAACAACAACAACAAGGACTACAACAACAACAACGACTACAACAACAACAACAACAGCCTCACACTACAACATGTAGCGAGTATCACATTCATCTCAACATTATGTGGAGAAAATGTAAAAAAATTTCTGCTAGAGAGCTCCGTACCCCTTTGTAGCTGGCGGTTACTCGCCAGGGAGGGTACAGAAGGCGCGGGGAGGGTACAGAAGACGCGGGGAGGGTACAGTAGGCGCGGGGAGGGTACAGAAGGCGCGGGGAGGGTACATTAGGCGCGGGGAGGGTACAGTAGGCGCGGGGAGGGTACAGAAGGCGCGGGGAGGGTACAGAAGGCGCGGGGAGGGTACAGAAGGCGCGGGGAGGGTACAGAAGGCGCGGGGAGGGTACAGAAGGCGCGGGGAGGGTACAGAAGGCGCGGGGAGGGTACAGAAGGCGCGGGGAGGGTACAGAAGGCGCGGGGAGGGTACAGAAGGCGCGGGGAGTACAGAAGTTCGCAGGGAGGGTACAGAAGGCGCGGGGAGGGTACAGAAGGCGCGGGGAGGGTACAGAAGGCGGCGGGGAGGGTACAGAAGGCGCGGGGAGGGTACAGAAGGCTCGGGGTACAGAAGGCGCAGGGAGGGTACAGAAGGCGCGGGGAGGGTACAGAAGGCGCGGGGAGGGTACAGAAGGCGCGGGGAGGGTACAGAAGGCGCGGGGAGGGTACAGAAGCTGCGGGGAGGGTACAGAAGGCGCGG